GCCATTTTCAGGGCCGCAAAAAATTAACAAAGAGATAAATTTTTGACTGCCGTGATAACAAATAAGAAATGTACATATCGTCGTTTAAACTACAACAAAATGCAAAACCGCGTATCATGATAATGCAAAACCGCGTATGTGAGGTTGCATAAATTATTTTCTACATAGTAAAAACACTCATATTTCAAAATGGTTCTCTTTTTTATAAAGCAATCGCATTTCTGGCTAGTATATTTCAACACAAATGGATAAGGATTTATTGACTCAAGTGTCTTTTGATTATTATTTTATTATATTATCAATCTTATAGGATTGTATTGAGGCTAGCAACTTTGTTTTGTTCGGCAGCATAATTTTGCATATACTCCTCCATTTCGTCCCATTTTCTTCTCGCTTAAGGTACTTATCTCTGCATTCAGATGTTGCACGTAGCTTTGGTACTGATTGCTCGCTTGNTCCCATTTTCTTCTCGCTTAAGGTACTTATCTCTGCATTCAGATGTTGCACGTAGCTTTGGTACTGATTGCTCGCTTGTTCTTTGGCATACGTCAATTGTTGCACCATAGCCTGTAAGAAATGCGTAAACATAATAATGTAAACATCTTCAAATGCACTTCTACTTCTAACTTACTTGTAAGTCTCTAATCTGTTGCTCATACATAAATTGCGTCTGCGTCAAGGTCTCTATACGATTGCCGCCTTGGATTTTATTGGCCTTATCCGACAACTGGCGTATGATAAGCTGCGCCATTTCCAACTCATTTGACTTTTCTTTGAACTGATGTTCAACATCGGGAGCACGTTGCTGCATTACATCTAACAGCCTTTTCATTTCATCCAGATGAGCCGCTTGATGCGGCCAACACCCAAAAGGTTTGTTTACAACAGAGACCGTACCGGTTATGCATTTTATAATAAAAGTAAAAACCTGAAGTTATTTTTTTACTTTTATTATTTTGAGCATATAATACCTNTGCATTACATCTAACAGCCTTTTCATTTCATCCAGATGAGCCGCTTGATGCGGCCAACACCCAAAAGGTTTGTTTACAACAGAGACCGTACCGGTTATGCATTTTATAATTAAAGTAAAAACCTGAAGTTATTTTTTTACTTTTATTATTTTGAGCATATAATACCTGTTATTTCTGCTTTTTATTTTGTTAAGGCAAAAATAAAAGTTAAAATTTGCCTTTAATTTTTTTGAGCAGAAAATAATCGGTAATTGTTGACTTATTTTTTCAGGAAAAAATAAAAGTCAAAGTAAAAAATCAAGTATTCCAGAGCTGTGTATATTGGAATGTGATAGTTTTGAGGCTCCTACATGGATTTTAATCACGATTGAGAGAATACAAAGGTTGCGCCGATCTCGGACCGCTATTCCTCTCTTAACGAATTTGACAGAATCGTTGTTTGCATGACGTCACGCTTGTGCAACTTGTTTACGTTTTCCTTGCAAAATTTTTTCTTCTTCTTCCATTCTTGCTCACGTTTTGGCATTTCTCTCGCAATTGCACCAGTGTGACGTCACACAAAAGTTATTCTCAAAAATCCTCTCTGGTCGGCGCAATCTTATATTCTATCATTCTTAGATTTTAATAACCCCTATACCCAAATACCAGGGTTATTTCAAATCTATATGGCTCATTCCATTTTNGTGACGTCACACAAAAGTTATTCTCAAAAATCCTCTCTGGTCGGCGCAATTTTATATTCTATCATTCTTAGATTTTAATAACCCCTATACCCAAATACCAGGGTTATTTCAAATCTATATGGCTCATTCCATCTCAAATCACCCAGGCCGGGGGAAAGTGAATTTAAGTTTGCGATAAAACTCACAGGGATTGTTCCTTGAACAATTTAAGGAGACACGTATTTTTTCTTTTTGCTCAGAAATGCGAATTTTTCGAATAATGCATTTTTTTTCTTTTTGAGTACGAACGAATCGTTTATAACTGTCGCAAAAAAGCAAGGATTTTAACGATTTTTTTTTTTAAATTGCAGATATTGATCTACTGAATCGATCTAGTGAACTAAACATCAGTAAATGTTTATTAATAACACTGTGAGACAAATGGTAGGGGTCNTTTTTTTTTTAAATTGCAGATATTGATCTACTGAATCGATCTAGTGAACTAAACATCAGTAAATGTTTATTAATAACACTGTGAGACAAATGGTAGGGGTCAGTGGTCGGGAAGGGTTCAAACTACCGGGGAAAGTTATATCAGCAAAAAAGAAGTTATACGTGTCCCGGCGTTTCACTGGGTCACGTCTAGGAATCGAGATATATCGATTTGAAGTTAAAAACTATCATATAGGGGAAATTGTCACCTTTGGTGGTCTTTTTTTTACAT